TTTCAAAAGGTTTACAAAAGTTCTTTTATGTTCTACGAATTACGGATTTCAAAACAGTTTATTTAGCATTTAATTAAAAAAAAAAAATTTCAAGTTCATCCCCTCTACAGGACCAACTTTAATTTAATTGAATTTCTCTTATGTCCCAAGTGTTGTATTTCAACAAAAATATATAATGAAATTAAAATTGAAATTTAATAGGGTTTTAATTAGCACAATATAGTTAATTATATCATATTAATTTGGTCTATATTGAAGGACATTTTGTTCCTTTTTTTATTAATAAAATTTATTAAAAAAAATTGGCGAAGAAACCAAAATAATTTATGAAATTGAAAATCATTTACAAAATTTCATTTTTAATTCCGGTAGTTAACATGCAGCTTACAAAAATAATGATTTTAATCTACTTTGTGCAATTTTGGATGGTTTGTGGCTATTGGTTGAGACTTAATGAAGTGTTTATTGGTTTTTATACATACACATGTACATATAATGGCTTTACAAGTTGCTTTACCATAATCTACTTTACCAAACGTAAAAACAAAACCACCGTGTTTAATTTGTTTTTTTTTTTACAATTTTAATTTTTTTTTTATTTTCTTTAAAAATTCAGAAAAAAATTATTGTAATTTAATATTTTAATAAAAAAAAATTATAAATTGGTAATTGAAATTCAATTAAATTTGTGTTTTAATACGATTGCCCGTATACGTGGTAATGGTTAATGAATAATAAAGAGAGAAGAGTTCTCAATTACACACTCTCAATAAAATGTGTGTAATTAAAAATGTGTGTGTGTGAATTTTATAAATTGGGAAAATGTTTATGATGAATAAAATATTGTTGAATTATTTATTGTTTTATAATGATCACGTTTTCATAATCATCACGATATTAATTGTAATTCTTTAAATTAATTTTATATCCCGAAAATTCTATATTCCTGTAGTCATTGTGGATGAGCTTAACAAATATTCCATGAGATTTTACACAGATGAATATAGTAGTATTGTTTATTATATTTATAGTGCACTCATAAAATTTGGTTCACATGTGCCCTTATATAGCAGGCATATCTCCTTGTGTAATATGTGTAGTATAATTGTTAAGAATGCATTGTTATAATTGTTAAGAATGTTGCTTTTTAAATTTTTCACTTACGTCATAAGAAAACAATTTAATTTTGAAAATAATTTTTTAAGAAATATTTTGCTTATAAATATCTTAAAATCAGCCATGTTCAATTGAAATTTTAATCATTGTAAAATTGAAAAGGTATTAGACGTATTTAATAAAATCATTCCAATAAGCTTATGAAGAAAATGCTATAAACATGTTAAAAAAAATAATAAAAACCCAGACACTATAAAAAGTATACAACAGCTGAGATTGTTAAGTAAATGGAAATTTCGTGTTGTTAGAAAATGTAAAGATAATTTGTCGTTCTTAAATTATTGATTAACAATAACATGAAATAAAATAAATTGCAAATCAATGTTAAGTGATTATGGGATTTTAATTGAAGACACATCTTGTAGAAATTTACGCATCTTGCTGTTGAATTTTTAGAATGACAAATTTAAATTGAATAAAACAAAATTTTTATTTGGTGTCTTTTGCGTTACCATTTTTAAAATAATGATTTTAATTAGTTGGAATTTGTTCTCTATTGTCACAATTGCTAGAATACTCGTAAGTTTAAAAATAATTATTTCGAATTTAATTTTAATTTTTAAATTTAAAGAAACTCTGTAAGCGGTAATGGAAAATTGTTGTTACACAAGGTTAAATTTAGGTTTGATTATCAATAAAATAAAGTATAGGACAGATTATTAAAGTACTCGTATATAATTTTAGTTTTTTGCTTTTACACTCTCTTACGAAACACAAAATTAATTTTTACTTTAGATTAGTTATACTTATTATTAAGCTACTTAATAATGCCAGAATCATATTTAAATTGGATATGATCAAGGTACTAGTTCTAGTAGCTGCCATAAAATTTCAAAATTTATTTAGCTATATCTTTAAAACTGTTCAAGCTACAGTAACGAAATTTTGCAGAAACAGATATGGTAAAATGGCAGCTATATTCATTAAAAGTTGTTGAGATCCTATGAGCGCTTTTGATATCTGTCATACAACTCCAAAAGTTATTAGACCATATCTTAGAAATTATTCAGCATATAGTTGTAAAAATTTACACAAGAAATTATGTCGTTGGGGCTGTGATGTTTTATAAAAGCCGAAAAAATTTCTCGATTGCTTGTGGTAGCTGCCATACAAACTAATAAGTTGTTTGTTCAAAGCTGAGAAACTATTAAAGCTACAAAGCTGAAATTTTGAACAAAGAAATTTGGTGATGTTTTTGTAAAACTATTTTAGATTGTACGGGTTTATATGGTAACTACCATATACGTAAAAAATAACACTACACATACATATTTCAGAAAGCAAGAGGTTGTATGAAACTGTATGTCAATTATCTCCAGCATTTAAAATAAATTGTTCGTACAGGTATCACAGAGTCGACATGGTGAATTTTTCTATTATATTCTCGTTTTTTTTATATTTTTGGGATTTTTACTATGCTCCAAAGTTAAAATCCCTTTGGTCAGGCCTGATCTATCTCAAAATTTAATTTCAGATATAAATTTTTATTAAAATCAATTCATCCGACATTAAGATAACTACATGTATACTATATGTTACAGAGAAAACGTATTCTCCTTGAAAATTGGACATCTGTATAATTTTGTGTCAACACATAGGCTTGCATACATAGCAATGAAAAAGAAAATCAGAAAACAAGAAAAGAGTAATTGAAAATTTAAAAATAAAAATTATGTAACCAAAATTATACTTAACCTAGACTAAATAACCAAATGTTATAACGACGGACAGAACAAATAGTTTGTAGACTAGCACTTTACCACCAAACAACTGCAAATACAATTAAGTAGCTAATATGAACATATAAATTACTTTCTATAATATACTAAAATATTATTATAAAACTATTGATTACATTAAGGATGAGACCAAAAACCCAAATAAAAAAACAAGCGTCACCATCATAATGGTCTGGTTTGAAAACTTAGTAAGGGAGTTATATTTCGGATGACAAATCATATTATATTTTGCAAATTTTGTAAGGCGATAACTTAGTAGGAGGTGGTGTTGGAAAATTTTCTTTTGAAAAAAGAACTTAAGAATCGTTCAATCTCAAAAGGTTGTAGAAGTCTTGTAAATATAACATAAGAATAGGCTATTGAACGGACAAAGTGATACTAATAAGAATTTTTTTTGGAAAAGTATTGAAAACGAAATAATTTAAAACGGGAAAAAGTATAACAAATCCAAAACGGAATTTCTATCAATTCATATATTGAAGAAATACTACTTCTCGTGTCTTTGTTGACCGTCATTCTCACATCTGGTACTCATAGGAAGACTATCCTATAATGTAAGGACCCTACTAGACAAGGACGGAATAGCAGGGAATCTCGTACATTACTGACCTCCTGCGTTATTAATTTAATCAGTAACTTTATATGTAACATAAATTAAGAACAAATTTAATAAAATAACGAAACAAACTAATATTTTTTAGTTGCAAATAACAAAATTTAACAGAATAAAAGCTAAATTTAGTGAATACTAAAGAATCACATAAGTATTAGTTTTTATTTAATTAAATTTTTTAAAAAAGGATTTAATAAATTTTCACAGAAAATTACAACACTTGTTACAATGAAATATTAAATTTGCTTTTAATTAATAAATTTTCTTTTTTCATTTATAAATATTGTATCTTAAGTCTAAATATAAAAAATCTTAAAATATTACAGTGTAATACAAAAATAAAGAACAATTTATGTTAAAAGCAAAATAATCCTTTAATTTCAAATCATTAAAATTCCTGATAAGTTCAATACGTTTTTCCTTATCGAAAAAATAAAATTAAAAAAAAAATTGAAAATAAAAAAGTAAAACATAAGAAAAAAAATTTTTTTTTACAACATTTAATTGTTAATTTTTTTAAATACAAGAGGAAAGACCCGCATGGCTGATTTAAAAAATGGAAAGAGCACAATAATTTTTATTTTTTAGTTTTTCTCTTTCAAAAGAAACTTTATTGAAGTGGCGAAAATTTTTCCTGAATTTTTAATTATTTTTCACTTATTTTTTACCATTTCTTATTTCAAACAGGCTCTGAATTTTATTATTAATAATAAAAAAAAAAAAAATCTGTAGTACATAATTGGAAATGTACGTGATTTTGAAAATTCCTGTTTAAAAGCTGTTGAAAATTCAAAGCATGATGTTCGCGCGTGATTAAAAAATTGTTATAAGGTAATAAAATTTTTTCTTAATTAATTTTTTTTTTTTGTTTTCGATGCCGAATTTATGAGAAGACCTTTTAAAGTGCAAAATAAATTAATTCACAATGGTATTATTAAAAATTTATTTAATTGGTGTAATAATCATAATTAAATCAGTTTTTTTTTGTTTTGTTCTTGCTATGCATGATGAGAAGAACTGAGTTTTAAGTTTATTTGTAATTAAAAATTGGAAAATACTCTTGTGCTGTTTTAGTTTTTTGAATTGTTTGTCTGACACCGTTGATTCAAATAAATATGCTGTTGGAACTTTAAGGGAGTAGTACTTAATATTAAGAGTGGTTTGCGCGCAGTGGTTTGCAAAATTTTAAAGATCCTCATAATTTCAACACGAAAAGTTGTAATTTTCTTAATGTCATTAACAAAAACAGTTTTCGAATTTAATTACTTCATTAAGTAATTACAAACTATTACAAACTGATATTATAAATTCAAAACACTGGCTCAAGCCAAATAACTTTTCAGCTTTAAGCAAAATTCAAGTTTCAACTAAATCTCACGTAATAGTAACTAACTGTTAAAGCAAAAAAAAAATTTTTCAAATCAAAACTAAAACAATTTTTTATTTCTTCTTTGGGCTCACTTTATAAATTTTTATTCCCGATTTAAATTTTTTAAAATATAATTTACAATTAGAGCAAAAATTATAGAACCAACTATTATAATTAAATTAGAACATATAGATTGACAATAATTACAGAATTCAAAATTGATTTTATTATTAAAATTATTTTGTATTGGTTGTTCCTTTAATACTAATTCTTTCATTTCATCAACAAGATTAGGAAATAATTCACGAAAATTTGAATTTTTTAAGTTGAATTTTAATGAATTTTTGGCGTACATTTTCTTTTCATATAGCGATGATGTGATTGATCCTAAAGTTGGAATTGAATCAAGCATGAAATTAAGTAATCCTATTAATATGGTTGCAACAGACCATGATGGATTCCACGTATCAGAATGAAAATCTGATATACTAAGGCATAATTTTGTATTAGTTTTAAATCTTCCATTTGGCGTAAACATATAAATTGAGGGGGGTTTGAATGGATATTCATTTGAAAATAATAACTTCCCATGATAATATCCACAAAAATATGGAGAATCTTCTGGACCTTTAATAACATAATGCCATTCTAATATATTCGATGGTAATGGTTCAGCATAAATATATGGTACGGGATCTTTTTTTAAACGCAAATATTCTTGTTGTAAACGTGAATTTGAAATTCGTTTCTTATTCATTGTTATTTAGCTTTCTGTAATTTATTTTTGACATATAAAAATAATGTTTACTATAAGACAAATTCTTTCTTCTTTTAAAAAAAATTAAATTTTTGCTTTGCTTTGTTTTATTTTTTAAAAATATTGACATTAGTGTGGGGATTTCTAAAATGGAAAACAAAAATAGTTTTCAAATTTAAAAAATTATTTTGTTTACTGAAATGCTTAGTGCAGATTAGAATCTCTACATGACGACAAAGAGTTTGCATTTTAGTAGACGTTTGTAATATTATTGAATTTTGTTTGACGGTTATTAAACTGTTTATCTACATTTTCATTCAAAATTTATGAAAGAAATAATCAAGACAGAAAAATACATATGACATCCAAGACACAAATTACCAAAAAAATAATCGTACTTTTCGTCATTTTTACTTAAATGAAGGGGATATAAAAGTCACATCATTTATGTTCTCTCATACAGCAGGATGGCGTTGTTGGCGCTCCAGTCGGCTCAGGTTAGATTCAAGCTGGTTTGGAGCTGTGGGCTTGCAAAGTAGAACTGGCATCAGTAGACAGAGTAAAGGTCATATTGGTTCCGGGCCACAGTGGATACAAAATGAATGAGATCGCTGACGCATTGGCGTGGTGGGGAATTGAAGTCTCTTTCGTTTGAATTGTCGCTTTTTGTGGACTGTCAATGACTGCTATTAGGGGCAATCTTCGCTGGGAGGCTGTTGAAAGATCTCATCATGCAAAGCTGTTCCTTCCATCTTGCTCAAAGAAGTATTCTTTAGAAAGATGGGAGGAAAATGGGGTGTATGCTATTATTGGCTTTTTGTCTGGGCATTGATCGAGAAAGTTGCTACGCATTATGCTTAGACGAAAATTTTTTTTTACTTGCTTGTTAAACAACTGATGGTTTACATTTTCTATTTTATGTGTCATTGTTTAGAAGCTTACGAAAATATTTTGTATCGATTTATAAATGTTTTTGATTTGTTGAATACTGGGAATTGATTATTAGTCGAACTTTAATCCTATCTTTACTGACATTTTTCAAAGTTTTAATTCAATAAACACAATGTATAGCATTACTTGAAAATGAGACTAAAATATTGTTGTTCTCACAATACGTTTAAGATTTACACGTGTTTAACAGTTACAAACTAAATTGCAAATTATAATTGCGAGCGATAAACTGGAGTCTTTTCACTTCTATTCTTGCAATTTGTTAATTTTAATAAATTGTGATTTTCAAAAATTACTGTATTCCCTAATTTTAAATTTTTATTTTATTTGACGTCCCATTTATTTATATTGTACAGCACCTCGTGAATTTTCCGTTCTATTTTTAGACTTTTGCAGCTACGAATTTACAAGCATTTATACAACTTATGCAGTTGATTAACTTTTTAATAGGAATTTACAAGCATTTATACAACTTATGCAGTTGATTAACTTTTTAATAGGAAATTTTTGTAAAAATAATCAACTAAAAATTGATGCCTTTGCTATAAATGAAAAAGTTGGTTGTGATAAATAAAATAATTTTCCGTTTCCTTTATAATTTTTTCTTTAATTTACGCGGTCACTAATTTTCCTTTTAGTTCATTTAACACCAAAAGTAAATAAGAGAATTTGTAGAAGTTTTTAAAATAACCGGAATAATTTTTAAAATTGTGACAACTCATTAAAATATGATGAAAAAACTTCGAAGAAGGAAATGAGAAACAACCACAGCTTGTTTTGTTTTCAAAAGACTTTGTTCTTGGTTGCTAATTATTTGCTTAAAAAATTATAGTGCAATATTTGGACCTCGTAATAAATTTTTTATGTGCTACTCTATCTTTAAGCTAATTACACAAGTGTTTTTTTCTGTTATTAATTAAGTACATTTAATTGAGATGGGATGACTTTTAGCAAATGTCTAATAAATTAAAAAAAAACAGCTGTGGTTATTAGTTTGAAGCTGCTCAAATTTTCGTTATCCTGCATCTGTTTACGTATCCTATGGCCCTACGAACGAGATTTTGGAAATATTTTAAATTTACCGTTCATTGTCTTTTTAACTACAAAAATAATTTTGTCATATCTTACAGAAATTAGAAAGCAAAAGGTTATTCAATTTGTGCGTAAATTCATCTAGCAAAATACCTTAATATTTCGAATTATTTTATTTTAATCGTATGAGTTGTTACAATAGCTGCCAGTTATCTTCAAAAATTATTTGTGTATGTCGTCGAAGCTATAAGCTTTACAGTATTGAAATTTTAAACCAAGGATTTTAATATCTATAGGACACTATTTCTATAAAAATAAAATTTTACCATCATTCTATAAATCCCAACAACACTTTGCATACAAACTATAAAGGCGAATACAAACTATAAAGGCGCATACAAATTATATAAAGTTGCAATGAAACAAATCCTAACAAAATGTTAACATGAGCTGTGTAGAACTCTTGTCAGTTATTACATAATTTTTGGAAAATAATCGTACGGATGTCAAAGAGTTAATGTGCTAAACTCTATTACTTTTCTAATTTGTTTTAATAGGCGATAAACAAAATTTTTGATTTTTAGTTTTTTAAAAATTTGAATTTTTTTTTGTAAAATTTGCATTTACATAGTTGCCATTGTGTTTTTTTTTTATTCGAGTTTTAAAGCTTCTACAATTCTTCTTTTTATATATGGATATGAGGACTTTGGAATGTAAATATTTGATATATTAAATGAGAATCTATTTATTTATTCTACATTTAACTAAAAACAATTTTTATTTGCCTTGAAGCTATTTTTTAATATTACTTTTATTAAAAATTATTTGAACAATGAAAATAATACTGAACATTATGTAGAAGCTACATAGGAAGATTATTTGAATTTTAAACAGGAAAAGAAAATTAAAATAAAATCTTATACGTGCACTCGACATTTGATCCTTTTGGTGTAAGTTCCGCTGCTTAAAGTAATATGCAACATATAAAATATTTCAACATTTATGTGCATAATTTAATGTGATTTCGTTTCTATTATTACACTTAGTTCTTTAACATAAGTTATGTACTTTAACTCTATAACAGTCCTATTTATTGGTTTTAGATTACAGTGTTCGGAAATGCTTTTAACCTTAAAGTGATAAATTCCTGAAAATTTTTTACACAAGAATTTTAATTTTCAAAACTTTCATTTATTAGCGAAATAACGATGTTGAGAAAATTTAAAACTTAATTCAAAAACTTTTCTTATCTTTCTAATAATAACAAAGTGCCGAAAACAGATTCATATTTTCATTTTGATCTTTATTGTTAGAAATTTGCAAGACGAAAATAGGAGAAAAAAAAAAAACAAATTTGTTTGCCGTTATTCAAATTTTTTTTCATATTTCCTAATAAATACTTTTTTTTTAACTGGTTTGATATTAAAATAAAAAAATTTGAATTATCCTGCTTTTTAGTCCTTTCCCTCAACAATATTGGAAAATAGTGCTTATTAGTTTTACTCAGTCTGTTCGTGAGTTCATTTGCTTAAAAATTTCTACATCCCTTAAGAAATAAATTTGAAAATTTACATGCAAACACATTATTCAATTTATTTAATTAGAAGAAAACTTTAAGCCATTTAAAAAATTTAAACGCCTCTTTTAATTATTTACTGTAGCGAAACCACAAATATTTTTAAATTCTACGCGTTTCTGTTGGGAAAGTTGAAAAGTAGTGACACTCTATTTCTAAGACGTAACAGTGCAGTCAACCATTGCAAAGGAAAAAAGGCCGTTAGAATTAGCATAATTTCAAAATAAAGTTGGTAACGTTTTTTTGTTGGATAATAATTCGCCTGACATTTTTACAGCTTCTGGGCATTTATAAGAAATTTATTCGGTTGGAAGAAATTTTTTGTCAGTTATAGCCTGACAAATTTAGCGAAATTTCAATTTCTAGCACTTTGTATTTCCGGAACTCAGAGCTTTCCCATATTTTGTTAAAAGGTAACGGTAAATGACTTGCCAACAGAAAACATAATAATTGTTTGTCTAAACTCAACTTGCTTTATTTTACATAAATTTACATTTCTTGAAATTTTTATGCTTCACCTAAAAGTATGCAATATTTTTTGATAGTTTAAGAAAACAAAATTTGGTGTTCCAATGAGAATAATATTGAGGATAGCTTCAATCATATTCTCACTTTTCCAAAAGAAAATTGCTACTTTATAAACCATTAGGTTGGTCTGAATTTATTAATAAAAGGATTGAATTTTTGGCAAAATTTTCCATTACAAAGTGATTCATTTGAAGTAGTAATTCAGTTTTACTGATTCACAATGGCAGAAGTATTTATTACTTACAAAAATAAATTTTTATATAACAACCATTTCTAAGTTAATGTTCAAGTTCTTTTTTATTTTTTAAGTTTTTTTTTTTAGATATAATTTAGTAAGTGTTAATACCTAGATGATGGCCCCAAAGAAAATTTATTAATGGACTGAATTTTTTCAAAGCTCTTTTACGATATAAAAACGTTAAAACTCTAAGGGGGCCTTTAGTCTAAACTTTAATCTGAATTAATCTGGTTTTTTACATTTCTGCTTAAAAAAATTAGGGCTTGCTTTGCCGGACCAATATATAGGTCTTTCCGGAATCAACACATACTTCTTCTCAAGTTAAAACTTAATTTACTTAATGTTTTTCTGTAAAATTGTTCCATAGTTTATAGCTTCTAACTAAGCAATAAGTTGCCGTTTGAAATTAAAAAAATTAGTAATCAAACGTTAATGTTTTTAAAAAGGTAAAATCAAACTTAACTTGCAATGGACTAGATATTGAAATACCACCGTTTAAAATTATGAGTTTTTCCATCGTAAATTTTAAATTTTAAATTATGTTTCTTGTAAATTAAAAGAAGTTCGCTAACTTTTCTTTACTTACATTTTGCAAATTCAAATTCCCTACACTTCAAGTAAACTCATATTTTGTTACACAATAGAATCTTACCGAAGGAAACATTCTCCATTTAT